CTCATTAATAATAGATAATCAACCGAGAAGAGAATTGAAAAAAAAAAATATACAAGTGGGAATTTGAATCCATTCAAACTATGTTACTCTAATTTTCAATATTTGTTGGGCGTTCGGTTAGCATTTCAGTTTTTTCTTGCGTTTTTCGCTGCTTTAATTCACATCAGAGGTGTTTGTGTTTAGATATTGGTGTCTTTTTCATATGAACAATGTTTTAATACCTCTAAGAAAACAATTATCTTTCAATGCAGAGATACCATGGAAGCCTACTCAATAGAAGTAAAAAACCTTGCCATGAATATCCTTACCTTTATAGCAAAAGCTTTAAAATTGGAGGTTGGTGATACGAGGGTGCTATTTGAAGAAGGGATGCAGGGAATGAGGATCAATTACTATCCTCCATGTCCTCAACCGGAGTCGGTCATTGGCCTGACCCCGCACTCGGATTCCGGCGGCCTCACCATTCTCCTCCAAGTTAGTGAAATCGAAGGCCTCCAAATAAAAAAGGATGGAATTTGGATTCCGGTTGTTCCACTCCCTAATGCATTTACAGTCAACATTGGAGACATCTTGGAGGTAATCTATAAAAGCAAATGGCCTAATCTTTTGGACATTTAGGTGGCCGTTGATGCAAAAAATTGCGAGACTCAATTGAGAAATATATCAAGTATTCGACTTACACGTCAGTCAAATGTTGTCGGGTCATTTTGGCTATTTGTCAGCTATTTGTTAACCCTAACATCATTTGTTTAATCAGTATGTCATGTTCGTGAGCATATATGGATAACAGTGAATCAGAAACCTAGGACCGGTACCCTCTTTTCGTTTCAATTAAACTAACCACTTACAAGTCTCCAATAAACTAGCAATTCACTTGATCTAAATGCTGGTTAAATCAAGGAAAAAATACAAGGATTCACACAATGCCAGAACAAAGAATAAAAAAAAAACAAACATTTTCTTTCTGTAATACCAATTAAGCGGGTTTATTTTGTCATGTTGTTCATTGTTAACAGTAATCCGATCGATTTGTTATACGTTTGTTGACACATATTTTTGCAGATTGTGACAAATGGAATTTACCGCAGTATTGAGCATCGAGCAGTAGTGAATTCAAAGAAAGAGAGGCTTTCCGTCGCCGCTTTTCTTAGCCCAAAATTAGATGGAGATCTAGGACCAGCTCCAAGCCTTATCAATGAACAAACACCAGCATTATTCAAAAGGATTGGTGTTGCAGATTTCTTCAGGGGATATTATTCTCGCAAGCTTGAGGGAAAATCATATTTGGATATCATGAGGATTGAAAAAGATGGGCAAAAATATTAAGTACCATTCAACTATTGGAATCGGCATTGGAGCTCGACACATATACCTCCAATAACTCAATCAAGTCTTATCTCGACTATTTAGTTCGGTTACATTATATATGTCCCTCCTTTCAATATATAATCGGCAATAATGTTTGCATAAAATGTTGGATTAAATGTTGTACTATAGTACTACTGGACATCTTTTATCAGAATATTGGAATGCATGTTGTAATTTCGGATTAAAATATAGTCATGTTGTGTTATTTTGGATTAATATCGAGGATTAGTTAATCTTTAAACAGTAACATATTAGCAGTCTATCTTATGTCATGGTACGAACGTGCATTGTTATTAATCTTGTGGGTTGGATGACACTGAAAATCGTGAACCGAAAACACATGATTATAACAGTCTACCCACATGACTATAACAGTCTACCAAATGAAGAAACTGAAAAGATCGAAAAACTTCATAAGTTCATTTAGTTGTCTTGTTAGAATTTGATTATTTGTGTCCGATACTAATCCGATTTATTCATGATTCGTGTTAGCGACTCATTTTATTTCAGAGTTTACGAGAACTAGTCCATCATAACCCACTGATTTTTTGTTGGATTTATATCATTTTAAACTGTCATGTCGAAAATTACCACTTCTAATCCTACTATTTTTCGTTGATATATTTTGCAAATTGTGGCAATGGAGTTTACCATAGTATTCAACGTTGTAGTTGTGCATTCAGAGACTGAGACTTTCTTAGCCCAAAATTAGATACAGGTTTGGGGCCACTAGGAAGCCTTATCACTAATCAAACCAATTGATACTCTCACAAAGCTTTTGACCGGCATAGATGGCTTATAATTGATCAAATCGAGAAGATGATTAGTTGAAGTGCGTGTAAACTGACCCAAACACTCTTGACTGTTGAACCAAAAAAAAAAAAAAACCAATGCTTTGTATCTACTATTCAAGGTTGATTACATGAATCATTCACGCTCCGCTCAATTGTATAAATCATCATTTATGTTGGTCACACGTACCAAAATCATAAAAAACAAAAATCTCTTTCTTCTTGTAATGTCATTTAATCCAACGGCCACCAATATCGCTCTCGAAATTATTCACATTGAATTCTCTCTCCCCCTCCTCCTCCAAACTCATCACTTCTCACTTACGTTACATCTTATTTTCAGATTCAGATTAGCCCTAGTCATTTATATATTACTCGTGTTAATAGATTATGCTATTTATTTACTACTTGTGTTAATAGCCCAAGCTACTACAAGCACCACCTGACCACCTTGGGCCTTCGTTAAACCAATGAATCACCCCAAGCCGTTGTAAGCGCAAGCCCAATCTACCACAAGCACGACCTGATCTGACCACCTTGTGCTTTCTATGTGAGATAAACCGAAGAAAGAAAGGGTATTAGATGTATTTTGAATCAGAAAAGGATTCATATAAAGTTTGTTTGGTTTTATAGGTTTTACTGAGGGTATCTCGTGCATGAAGGGATGACGCAATGTGAATAATTTTGAGAAATATGTTAGTGGCCGTTAGATGAATCTATTTGAAATCGTCGGATAAATTTATTGAAACATGTCATATTTTATATTATAGATGATTTTTATCTAACACCCACGTATAAGGATTTATCTAATACCCACATTTATAAGCTTTATTTGTGGGTTTTTTTTTTATAAAATTTGGGGGTGAATTGCACTTTGAATCTTAAAAGATTCTAAAATTTTTATTTTACACCTTAAAAGATTAAATTTATTAATAGATTGGTTTTTGACAGAAAAAGTAACAGAAGCTAATAGAAGGACTACATTGTAACACTTTTAATACATTGAGTGTGCAATATAAAAAATTTAATTTTTGAAGGTACAAAGTAGAAAATTTGAAATCTTTTAGCGTAAAAAGTGTGAAAAACTCCTAAAATTTAAAGGTCATTTATAACTTTTGTGAATTATTTAAAACTTTTGAGGATTATTTACAACTTTAGGATCACCTAAGATTGATCCTAAAAATCATTTACAACTTTTGAAGGCTACTTGCGATAGATCATAAATTTTTAGGATCATTTAGAAGTAACCCTCAAAAATTATAAATAATCCCACAAAATTGTAACTTGGACTATAAAAATTGTAATAAGACCTCAAAAGTTGTAAATTATTTTTGTTGTAAACAAACTCAAAAACTTGTAATAATTTCAGCCTACAAAACTTATAAATTTTGGAGAGTGAATTACAAATATGGCTCTCAAACTATGACCCTTGTATCAATTAAACCCCTAAACTTCTTTTGTGTGTCAATTGAGCCCCTGAACTCTCCAATTGTGTCAATTAATCCCTTTTGTCTGCCTCCGTTAGATTTTCTAATGAAAGTGGCAAAATGTATGAGTTATAGTAAACTACACACATGGTCCTCAAATTATGATTTTTATGTCAATTAAACCTTTGTACTTTTTTTTTCTTTTGTTAATTGAACTTTCGAACTCTCTAATTGTATTAATTAAGCACTTCTAACTTTTTGTGTCATATTGTCACGTGAGTGGCACACTCTAACGAACGCAAACAAAAAGGCACAATTGACACAATCCGAGAGTTCAGAAGCTCAATTGACATAAAAAAAAAATTCAAGGATTTAATTGATACAAGTTTATAATTTGAGGATTATATATGTAATTTACTCAATTTTGCAAATACAGTACCAAATTTTTTTTGACAATAAAGTAGTCTCTTGTTTATTTGTCTCCCCTCTTTTTCATCATCTCCACCATTCTCTTCGCTTTGTACATTTCCAATCAGATCATATGAAATGACTGTAATTTTAGATTCTCACTACGATGTCATAAAAATATTTTTTGAACAATTTTATGATTTTAAAATTTATTTTTATTTTTATTTTTCTATCCATAGTTTATAAAGTGTTCAATTCAAAATCAAAAATTGAGATTGATGGAGATACAGTAACCTGACTCATTACTTTTAATTAATTTCAATGAGTTGAAATAGATTATATTGATATCAAAATTTTAGTCTAAATAATCTTTGACCCTATCAACTATTATTCGGATCTTGTTTTACTCTCTTAATTAACTGTTGAGTTTTTTATATTGTCCTATCAACTACTTAAATTTATTCAATATTGTGATAAAACTAAATGCCTAACTTGTTTTGAGAAATGTACGAACAATGTAATAGTTGAGTGAACAATGTTCAACCTATTGTAGTACTTGTTGAAAGTGCAACATAAAAACTATGATAATTAAGTAGACAAAGTTAGGTAAAAGATGGAATAGAGGAGGATGAAATTACAGATTTTTCATTTAACAATAAAAAAAACAATGTGTGTTCTCAATTGATTGGACCTTAGATGCCATGATTTACTTCGCAGGCAAGGTTTCTAGTTCAGGTCCACGATGACCTAGTGCCGGGAAAAAGAATAGAAGAAGCATGTAACAGCTCATTTCATTGCGTAACATGTCACACTCCCACCTCGGATCACGTAAGATAGACGGCAGACTTGCCACCCACCGGCTTTAACCAACCAACCCTATGTATACTAAATGCAAAATACAGTGAAAAATAGATAATAAAATAATTCAATTCATCGATTAAATGAATACCAGAGGAATAAACTAAACATCGTTACTAAATCCATGTAAAATAATAATTAAACCGTAAGGTTTAATGCTCCAAATATAAGTAACATTATTTCTAAAATAATTAAATATTTATCTCAAAATTACAAAAGACATTTATTCTTGAAGGCCTACAATAAAATAAATCTTCAAATCTTTTAATCTCTTGTATATCCGTAGACTTACTCTTCACTCTGATCCTCTTATAAAAAATGTTAAATGTTTGTATGAGAACAATCCAATAACTCATGAATAGCCACCACCTCGAATAAGGTGTGAAAATATGTCTCACTATTTATATACAAAAATAAACATTCATACATACATAAGTACATCAAATTGTACTTCAACCCCTTTTACATAATTATTTAAACAAAATGCTATCATGATCAGAAATAACTTTATAAAAGAAAAAATATTTATTACTCAAAACACCCACTCATTTTCACAAAATAACTTCATAAATAAAAATATATTTATAACTCAAAATACTCACACATACATTCAGTCTCAAATACATTTGTCAAATCATTTTTGTTATTACTAGCCTGGTAACTGACTCTGTTTCTTGTCATAACTAGTTTGATGACTCATTTTTATGTGCACATTCTTATACCGATCACACCGGTATACAATCTCGTTACCATTTAAACCTGATACCCTAGTCTCCGTCTCATAAAACATGATTTTCACACGCACCAAAAATGTCGTTTTAGTCCTAATGCACACAAAATTTTTCTTTTATCACCAAAACAATGATATAAAATCATCACACAAGTTTTTCAAAATTTATATGTATTACAGTTTACAATTGCAAAACATTTAATTGAAACTTTAAATATCAACATACATATTATATATATGAAAAATTCACACGCATGAACTCATATATTTAATATAGAAAATCCTTCCAAAAGATGTAGTAAACTACTCAACTTGATTTCCAAAAGTCAATTCAAATCCCTCTTTCTCAACCTCAATCCAATTACCACGTAATCCAAAATAACATATAATGATTAATCATTACTCCTAACTTCGTCATTTCACGATCTTATATTTAATTTATGTACTTCCTATCTATTTATATACTTAATATATATCCTTTACATATAAATATCCTTTCTAATATGAGGTAATAGGGTATAAAAATAATATAGGCTATTCAGAAAAAGTTTTTAAAATTTTTGGGTCAAATCATATATTTTGAAACTTTTGAAATCAAAGTGTAATTTACATGAAAAATGAATTTTCTATTTTTGAGGCTCCCATAAATTTTCCAGAATTCTATTCCCGTAACTTACCAAATGTGATTTAAATTAATTTCCAAAAAATATAGGAGTCAAATTAAAGTTTCTTGAACTCAAAGGGGTGAATTATATAATTTCAAAACTTTGTCTTCCTCAACCTACCAACTCTTCCTTGTTCTTCAACTTGAAAGAAAACAAGTCCAAACCCTTTTCTTTTCTTTTTTTTTCCAAAGAATCTTCTTGACCCACACATACCCCCACCATATTGACATGTAATTGGATACATATAATATAATCTTCCAATTGATACACCCTGCCACTTGCTCAATCACCAAGTTAAACCTTTCATAAGTAATATCTCAACTAATCTAAATCACCCGTTACATTCAAAATCGACCAGCTTCTTATTACTTCATTTCTTTTTATTTAAAAGAAAAGTAATAGCAAGTATTGGTACACATGTGTGTATTGAATTTCTTAATATAATTTTAGTAGAAAAACTCACCTTGAAAATCAGCCGCTCCCTTATTCTCTCTCTCGCTCTCTCTCCCCGCCGCCTGTGCACGTTGGATTCTCCTCAGCTCACAGTTTTTGTGTAACAATACAATGAATATATATGAGCTACCTCGTTCAATTACATATACAGTTTGTTTAGTTGTCATATTCAAAATAGATGAATTAGATAAAATAATTTGGTCTAATACAATATAGAATGACAAAAGACAAGACTAAATATAGTATTAGAATAATACGTAATTTTATCTAGTATTTGATAATACACAACATAAACGTTGGATAGTAATTATTTAATCTAATTGATTATTTGGTGAAGGAATTATTTTATCGTATTAATGTTGAATTTACAAAAATACCCTCAATCAGTATTTATTATATTGATGACAGTTTGATTTTATCCGTTAGAAGGTTATAATGGTAAATGTGCAAAATAATACGTTTGAGTTGGATTATAATACCACCTCTTTTGATAGTATTAAAATACCTCTATAATACAGGTCTAACGTATAAAAAATATATGATAAATATACGATTAGTATACGTTTTTGAAATTAATACGGTATCAAATTTATTTATCAAACAAAATATTAGGCCTGATTAAATAAAAAATAATACAATCTAATATTTATTCCGCTCATAATATGTCTATCAAACGAGTCCATAAGATATAACAGTCAACTATTGTTAATAACACTAAAGTTTCTTTAGCTATAAGAAATTAGTGTATAATCAATTCTGTAATTCTAAAACTCTATTCGACTAAGTATCTATAATTATCTAATATTTCTCTCAACACCGAAAAATTCATAGGCCCTTCAAGACAGACCACAGGTCAAACAAAAATTTAAAATTTCTCAAATTCAACTTATACATTTTTACTTTTATTATTATTATTTTTATTTCATTTTGTTTTTTTACTTGGGTATTACATAACATGAATGGAATAAGCAGCCTATTCCCCAGAAAGGACCATTCAACTGCTGTGGCTAGAAACAATTGATTATATAAACACATACACACATACAGACAGAGATAGACAGAGAGAGAGAATCCCCTTGGAATATTTAGCTGCCATGGAACCAAACTCCACAAGGCTTGGGGGCTCTCTTCAGGTGGCTTCTGTTCAAGAGTTGTCTAAGGAACAGCTGGCCACGGTTCCGCCACGATATGTACGTCCCGATCAAGACCATCCGATCATATCTAATACCTCCTCTTTACCTCAAGTCCCCATCGTCGACATGCACAGCTTACTTTCTGGAGATTCAATGGAATTAGAGCTTGAAAAGCTGCACAATGCATGCAAGGAATGGGGTTTCTTTCAGGTACTCATATCCACCTATTCCCTACGTAATCCAACATTTTGTTTATCTCATTCATATGCATCATGAACAATACCCTCCCAATATATTCAAATTATTGGGTATTGGAAGCAAATTAGGTCACCAAAGAAATACAAAATCAAGACCCAATACACGAAATCAATGGCTGAATATCTACTACGTGTATCACAATAATTTCAACACAAAATCAAGTAAAACAGGGACAAAAAATGTTGGGATTTAACACGATTTAAATTCACTAACAAACACACACAATCGAAGAACAAATCAAGAATATAAAGCAATAAGAAACAAGAAAGAATAAGACACAAATTTTACGTGGTTCAGCAATTTGCCTACGTCCACGAAACTGCAGAAATTTCACTATTGAGAGAGTTTAATACAGAGAGCGGCTGTACAATTCACGATTGACCCTAATCACCAAAACAACAGGGTTTATATGTCCTACGCACTAGGCTGTATAACGGGCCCAAAAAATTTTCCTCAGGGACTTTGAACCCCCACGAGACTTGTTCATGAGCGTTACGGCTTGGGCCATTCGCTCCATGAACTAAACTTCAAAAAAATTTTCATTAAAAAATCACACAACATTACTTCGGTCGGGTTATCATTCGGATCACATATACAAATTAGACTCCATAAAAAAAAACCAACAAAAAAATCTGCTACACTACCACACCAATTCCATTCAAGAAACACCTCTATATTTCATAAGAAAATGATTACAATATCAAGCAATACAAATGAGGAAACTTCCATCAAGAAAAACACAAAGTAAGCTATCAAAAAAACTCACAAACGGAGCTTCTTCTCAGGAGACACTTGCTGCGTTTCTGGACAGCAACTTCCTGTTTTTCCCTCTGATTTTTCTACCAACACCTCCCTTTTCTTCTCTATTTTTCTGGACAGAATCCTCTCTTTCGGACGCCAGCTCTTTGCCTTCTATACTCTGTTTTTCATGCTTTAAACCGACTTCAGTGAGCAGCCTTCGTCGGTTCCTTCTCACAACAGAAATCGGCTTCCATGTTGCCGTGCACGAACAAACTTCCTCATGATTCTGGACACTTCTAATGGCTGCCCCTTCAATTTTTCTGAAGCCTACAATCATAACCTTTTGTAAACCCACCCTTTTAAATACACAAAAGACCCTAAACATGCTTCAATATCATCTAACGACATAACTTTTCAATATTACAACATAACCCAAGAATAAAATACAAAAAACTACCCATTAAAGAATTGAGCTTATAAAACTATTACATACGTATCCAAGTTTGCTTTACGTTGATGTCATTTGATTCAATGTTAGCTAAACAAATCAACACAAGAATCAAAAACCATAAAGGTCCTATTTACTGCACAAACCTTCCACGAACAGTGATTGAGAAAGGTAAGTGATAGATGGTCTTACCCTCATATTAGAGAGCCCGGTTACTAGTTACTGTATTCAACTGGAGACGTATTGAATACGTATTATTATTATAGTTGTTTTCTATTTAGTTTTTTTTTAAACAAAGGTCACATTTGGATCAAACTAAGATAGAAACATATGTAATGCAGCTGATAAATCATGGAGTTAGCTCTTCATTGGTGGACAAAGTGAAGTTTGAGATTCAGAAGTTGTTCAATCTTCCAGCAGAGGAGAAGAAGCAGTTTGCTCAAAAACAAGGAGACTTAGACGGATTTGGACAGGCCTTTGTTGTATCAGAAGACCAAAAGCTTGATTGGGGAGATATGTTCTACATGTACACCCTTCCAACCTACTTAAGGAAACCCCACTTATTCCCCAACCTCCCTGCCGCGTTCAGGTTAGAACCCTGCTCCCCCCACCCCCCCAAAAAAAGGCCCCAACCTCCTCTGTCTCTGTCTCTCTCTCTCACACACACACACACATAATATGTATCTTAGGCGAGTAATGCTATTGAAACTTATAAATTAATCTAATTTGTTCATATAATAATGTGTCAAGTGATAAAGTTGTAATGAAAAAGTCTAAAGAGTTACCGTCGTAACAACGCTATTAGATCATATCATTATCACATTATTAGGTCAACAAATTAAGTCAATTTTTTAAACCTTAATAACATTACTAGTATTAGGCTCTGAAATTGTGAGAAAGATAATTATGTAGAATTTTAGGTTATGAGAGTATTCTCTTCTAGACTCGGTAGTTTGATTCGTAAATACATCTTCTGAGGGTATAAATTAGGAAATTCAGTTAACATGTCTTTTAACTATTAATTGATTTCTTGTGAATTGTTGGTTGAGTGACTGAAATTGAGTCAAGTAAAAGGCTTGGTGTATTTTAAACTTGAGCTTGTCCAATTCAAGTAGTTGAGTGGACATTGTGATAAACTTAATAGTTGAGGGAGAAAAGTGAGATCATGGACATAGCCAAGGGATTTAGAGTTTAGAATTTTCAATATCCCAAACAATTATCTTTCGATGCAGGGAGGTCATAGAAGCATACTCAGAAGAATTGAAAACCCTTGCCTTGAAGATCCTTATCCTTATGGCTAAAGCTTTACAAATGGAGGCTGCTGATATGAGGTTGTTATTTGAAGAAGGGATGCAGGCAATGAGGATGAATTACTATCCTCCATGTCCTCAACCGGAGCTGGTGATGGGCCTCACCCCGCACTCCGACGCCGTTGGTCTCACCATCCTCCTACAAGTCAATGAAATAGAAGGCCTCCAGATAAAAAAGGATGGAATTTGGATTCCTATTGTTCCACTCCCTAATGCTTTTGTAGTCAACATTGGAGACATCTTGGAGGTAATATGAAAAACAAACTTCCTAACCTTTTCGTATATTTTGGCTCATATTATTATTGAATGGACAATATAGTCTAAGATATGCCCGAAGACTTTCCGAGGTACACTCACATGGGAGATACTCTAGGAAAACAAGTTAATAATCTAGAAGAACACAAACCATGATTTACTAGGTAGGCTAAATATTATAAAATGGCCCTAATTACATTATGGCCCAAGTTTAAATTTTTCCTATTTAGACCTTAAACTTTTAGGATAAATTCAGCTAGTCCCTCCGTCCATTTCAGTCATCAAACGGATGATTTTCGCCCAAGTGAGAATCATCTACAGTTGTTAAAGACGATTAGAGAAACCTCAACAACCGGATATTGCTTATTCTCACGTATCAAACTCTTAAGTTCTTCAAAGATAGAAACTTCGAATGCTATAATGAGAGATTATCAAGTATTCTATGCCTAATATTATCACAAATTCTCATGTAGAGTAAAAATTTTTATTTAAATGCTTGAAATTGACGAAAGGAACTGAACAAAATAATTTTTAGAGTTCAATTGCTAACTGACAATATACAATTGTTTATTGACATATTGTTCGGCAGATAGTGACGAATGGAATTTACCGCAGTATTGAACATCGAGCAACAATTAATTCACAGAAGGAGAGGCTTTCCATCGCCACATTTTATAACCCAAAGTTAGATGGAGAAATGGGGCCAGCACCAAGCCTTATCAATGATCAAACTCCAGCATTATTCAAAAGGATTGGTATTGTGGACTACTTCAAGGGATTATTTTCCCGTGAGCTCGATAGAAAATCATATCTGGATGTCATGAGAATTGAGAATAAAGACGCCCAAAACATTTGATTGTCATTCAACTATGCAAATTAGGATTACCGTACGTCATAGATAGTTTGAAACTATCCAACAACTCAATAAAATCTTATCTCGACTGTTGGAGATTAGTTATACGAATGATGTTTTTCCAGTCAACTACAAATGTTAGCTATACAGTTTGCTACATCTTGTGCAATAAATGTTTTACAACCACAAAAACAAATGTTGTAACACCATGTTGAGCTTAGTTTCTTATGGGCTAATCAATTCACAAGTCCTATCTTGTGAATGCTAGCCTATTATGTATGCATTTTGATAATTGGGCAGTAACAAAGACCGACACTCGGATAGTATATGGCCACCGAGCGGGTGGTCCAGTAGGGTATCGGCCGAACTTCTCACCTTGAGATTGAAAATTCAAGTTTTAGTGTCTACATTATGCTTCAGTGGTTGACATTTATGCTAATCTAGTTAGATTCGTTCCCGAGAGGAGTAACAGACGAGGTCAGTGATCTCACAATCCCACTAGTGCGGGCATATCAAGGTTGTATTTGGGCCCTCTCCCTTACCCCCACCCATTTAAAAAAAAAATTGAACTAGGATAATATAGGGGGAAAATTACACTCTAACCAACCTCAACTCTACATTCTATCTCAGATTTCTCCCTCAACTAGCACTTTTATCATGTTGTACCAGCTCACATTATTAATTTCACATTATCCCAAATGTGGACATTGAAAACGTGTATTTATTGCACATTTGAACTTTTCTTTTCCAAACTATGCTGGTTCTTTGGCTTTAGGGCAGTGTAAAAGCAATTCAATATGGAAAACTCAATAGTTGGAGAAAAAGACAGTAGCATAGTTGAGGGGATCAAAATGCAATTTTCCCTAGAATTTATATTGCTGATGTCTCATATTACGTTCCGACTGAAGCTCAATATCACATAAAACCATTCGCGTTTTAGTTGCTGATTTTTGGGAGTCTTACCCAATGAAGAGGAGGGTTGTGCCATTTCGGAAAATCTTACGTACCCAAATAAGAATCTAGGGTTTATGTAAATCTAGCATAATTAGAAAACTATTGCAGATGTGTTAATATCATATTAAGCTCGAGTAACTCTGGTCGGTCTACAATCGTAAATATTTCTTTTTTTTAGTTGAGAAAAAAAAAAATTCTTGCCGCACAGAATAGGTTATACCTACCATATTCTTCTATACCTAACCTGTGAAAAATTTTCTAAGTCTTGTCCATGTTGTTTGCTTGAAATGGTCTATGGACAAATCGTGTTACATTCAAATCATATTAATTTAATTTTGTATTATTAACCAACCATAATTTAGTCCAAACTAAAATGTATCGAGTTACTTGATTTTTGCTAAGCCTATTAATTATTTAGCATATTCGATGTGTTTTCTTAACAAAATCGAGCACACTCATGTCCCATAACCTAAATCCTAAATAAAATCACTCACGCTAGCAAAATAAAGTAAGAAAAAAATGCCTACTTATAAAATTTAGTTAAGAGAATTTATCGTATTTTGTTTTTGTTCATGTCCAACGTTAACCTAACATGTAATAGATCATGTCGCTTTTAAATTCATGACGAGCACTAGTATTCAACTTCTCAAAGTCAACAAAAAATATTCAGCAATAATACACCAATTTTGTTTTTTGTTATGTGTAGTAAGATAACAGGTGTTGTTGTATCGTAACATAATGAAATCAAACAAGATAAGACTTTGTTAACTCAAAACTCAAATCTATACCCAAATCGAAACAAGGTTATGTCGAGATCCTAACAAAGGACTACTAAAATTTCTTTTTGAAGTACACGAAACATCTTATTTTCACCTAATACTTGTCTGAAATGAATCAAATCAAGCAATATCAATTATTTTATGGACTTTACTAGAGTACTGAGATGAACTATTTCAATACCGTATTAAAATTAATTTTGATCATTTTATTGTAATAAGAGTTTTTAAATTTTGACAAGGCCCGTCAATCGATCAGATTATGACCAATCAAAACTCAAATCTAATTTAAAACTTTCTTTTGAACCATATCTGTTTTAATTTTTATTGTTTCATATCATATTTCATTAGATATGGAAATTTGGTCCAATTTAAATTTTAGAAAATTATAGTGTTATCTTGTAATACAAACTCTCATATTGATTGGACTTCACAAGGTGATGCCGACAGCCTAACAAAGGACTATAACATAAGACAGAATCCCAATCACCAAACGTGACAGATGAGAAAACATGTACAAACATCTTATCTTCACCTAATTATATTTGTCTGAAATGAATCAAATCCAACATATCTATTATGTTATCAACCTCAATACGGCACCAAGATGTATCGTAGAGGGAAAGAGAAAGAACATAACTGATGACAAAGAATTTTTTTTTTTCAGAAGAAACTATTAAAAGATTAAGACTTTATTTGTCCTTAAAATTTAGGAAAATTGAAAAAAATATAAGTTATTAATAATTTCTTGGGGTAATACAAGAAATCAGACCCTGTTTGGTTTGCGTTCGAAAATTATTTTTGGAAAAAGTTTTAGAAAATAAAATTTGTGTTTTTTATGTCATAGAACTTATTTAGTTGTATGAGTCTAAAAACAATTTTACGGAATGAAAAACATTAAAACATGTTTGGATAGTCACATAAAAAACAATGAAAATAGAAATGTAGTGGTGGTGGTGTGGTGGACATAGTGGTAGTGGGAGTTTAGTGGTGGTGTGGTGGACATGGTGGTGGTGGGAGTTTAGTGGTGGTGTTAGTGTTGATGATGGGAGTATGGTGGTGATGATAGTGGTGGTAGTGAAAGTGGGGGTCATGTGGTTTGGTGGATGTGGTGGTGGTAGTGAAAGTGTGCTAGTAGTGTTGGTGGTGATGGAAGTGTAGTGTTGGTTTTTGTAGTGTGGTGGTGGTGGTGGTGGTGGTGGTGGGAATGTGGTGGTGATATTTCTAAATTCTAGAAAGTTTGTTTTCAAAAACGCATAAAACAATTCTAATTTGTTCTTTAAATTTACTCAGTTTTTATTTCAGTTTTCAAAAAATAAAAATCGAAAACAACTGGTTAAATAGTTTTTTTTTTAGAAACTATTTCCGAAAACATAAAACAATTTTTGAGATTCAAATTAAACAAAATTCAACTGTCTAGTTTCAGATATGCTACAACTTTCAGTCGAACTAAAGCTGGTTTAATCTCTACGGTTCATACCCTATTTCATTAGACATCGAAATTCGATCCCATTCAAATATGAAAAAATTTAGCAAATTATTTATGGAATTTAACTCAAATTCATCATATATTCCCATGGATATAGCTAAGATCAAGTTATAATTAAATCGAATATTGATATCTCTAAATTTAAAATTATAAAACATGAAATAGCAAATTCATATTTGCCCATAAACTTGTGAAGTCTAGCCGATACCATGCCAGAAGCTTAATTTTATTATGCTAATTTAAACCACAAAAACGAGTACCGCAAACCTAACCTTTGGAATCACTAGTGACTCCAAAAAAATTGTGCACAACATAAAATAACATTACAACCACAACACATGAACATCTAAATAGTGACTCATCTATTATCTTGTAGTCCTCTATGAGCTTGATGAATGAAATTGTGGTCATCTCTTGTTAGGTTGTATTTTTCAACTCATATCAAACAACCCACATGCTCAAGTCCTTAAGGGCATCCATAGAATGATCGTCGTCATATTTCACTCCAACCTATTCTCATTAAACCAATAAAAAATGGACTCAAGCTATGGCCCATCGCATTTGATTGAATCCAACTCAACAACATCACCCATCATATAATAACCCATTAACTATGAACCTACGATCTCTTCAAATCCACCCTCCCTAGTCCTTTTCCTTAACATTAGGGATTTGTTTTGAGGGATTTTTTAGGAGAATTTGGATTGACTTTTTTAAATTCAAACTCCTCTTTATAAAGATGAGATTTAACATTAAATCCAGTTCATAACTATATTTGGTATGCAACACATACACATGTAAAATTCACAGATATATCATAATTATTAATAATTATTTGTCATGTAAATAACTATTTTACCTTTGATCAATACAATTCATACTCATGTTAAATGGTACAATTATCTTTTGCATCATTAACCCTTAAATCATCTTTCTAAACTCACCTCTCTCATATGTTTGACAAAACTCATGATCATGAGTTTAATATTCGGGCTAACTACGGGCCGAGTTTGAAAATTCGAAATTAAATTTTCAATCCAAACATGAAATTTTGGTATCTTTTGAACTATTTTCCTCAAACTCATTTTACCAAGCCCCTCATATCCTTTTACCAAATAGCCTCTAGAAGTCTTTACCAGTGCAAACAAATCGTAATAAATCACCAAAATAAAATAAACATTAACAAAACCCTTTAGCTCCCGTAGGGGTGTCAATTGGTTAGGTTACCCACTGGTCTCGTTACCCAACTTGAAAAAAATATACCCAAAACTTGATAGGCCCAATAATTAGTCCAAGTCCAATATCTTTACAAAGAGAGCTTAGGTTTGGCCCCAAACCTATTACCCCTCCCAATAGCTCACCCAAAAAAATCCATTAAAACCCGGCCCAAGAACCCGCCTACCCTTCTTTTAAAAAAAAGCTATATTTTTATACTATTAATTTTGAAACTTTGAAATAAATTTTTCAATATCAAAATTTGAAGTTTTAAAAATTCAGATACTATAAATAATGTATTATTTTCTTTCTGTATATTGAGCATACAAGTTTTAAAGGGTAGAGTAATGTAAATAATAGATAAGTGAGTAGGTATCAACCTAGTTGGGATGTAGTTCATCCCCTAATAAAAAATAAAAGTATTCATTATATTATTTTTATCCATTTTGACTCTACTTTCGATTCAAAAATATAATTTACACAAATGTTAAGTTACAAAAATATTTATTATTTTTAAATAAAATTATATAAAAAATAATTCGCAAGCAAGCCCGCCCAATAGACTCACTGGTTGGATTGCGGGTAGCCTACTCTTACCCGAAGCCAGTCCGACCCTCCGATAACTCACTTGAGTAAGGACTTGAGCTTACATTATCCAAGTCTGAGTCAAAAAACATTTCTCGGGCCTAGAGTAGCCCTGCCCATGGACACCCCTTATCATTTTGTTTCTGGTACATCCTCAAACATATTTGATCTAATTTCGTGGATGTAACACCTTTATACTTGTCGGGCTGAAAAGGAAAATGTTATTTGGATCTAATTTGATGACTTAATTTAATACAACCATTAAATTGGTTGTGGGCTCTATTTAACATTAGAACTCACAACTAATTCAATGATTGTATTGAAACAACATCATTAGATCCATAAATAAGGTCCCTATAGTATTACTCGGCTAAAAATAACCTAATGTCAACACAGCTGATTATGACATGGTACCAAACCCAAGTTTGGGTGAGAGTACTAAAATATCAAATGACAAACCGGATCTTATCAAATATTTCTCATTTCCCATGATCACCTCTATTTTTAAGGTATTTGGGAACCTAGTAACCGAGCTATTCCATCACGAGTGACATCTGGTATTATCGTCTTAACAATAGATTTACATCTGTATAGAATATTATAAATTTTATACAAAGTGACACAATACATGTACAATCTTATATCACCGTTTTACAAGCATGCACGAGACCACCTCATATTGCTATTATTAATTATTAAAATTTTAATTTATAAATTAAAAAATTAAAATTCTCATATTGTATTCTCAATCATACAAAAATGTAGCAATATGGTCTATTTTAAGAAAAATGAGTACAAGATTCTCCTAGGACGGAAAGGCTCTTGATCGCCACGTTTTACAGCACGAAACTTGAGGGAGATTTTGGTCCTATGCCTAGTCTGATTACCCCCACAAAATCCAGCAAAGTTCAAAAGAGTGGGAGTGGCACATCACTTACAAAGGCTTATTTGGTCACAAGCTTGGTGGTAATTCATACCTAGATGCTATGAAAATCGAAAATGAAAAAAGCCACTAACAGTTCAGACATCAATTCAATGGTTTGAAACCTATGAACCTTAATTCTGTAATTAGGACCTTTTGTTTTGTGATATAAAAAGAAGTTATGCAAGATACATGAACAATAACTTGTTCTAGCCATGCTTGACGCCGCGATATAGACCAAGTCTCTCGCCATGCCCAACTTTTTCTTTTAGCTAACATTTCGTGTGTATCACACAAAATGCCAATTCGTAACATCGCGATTCATGCGTTCCAATGCCCTCCAAATACCATAACCTTAAATTATTAATATCATACGAGATTTTACATTAGAGGAATAAAAGGAAGGATATCTCATAGCAGAAATGAAAATAAATAGATTTGAATACATAATATGTAGCTTTCAAAAATGATGTATTAGGTTGAACTCATATGAAGTGCAACCAGGGATGCATACAGCCCTTCAGTGATGTTCATAAGCACATCATGTCTTCCCTTCTCAGCAATCACCCCATTCTTCACAACAGCAATAACATCAGCCCCTTTAATCGTGGCTAGCCGGTGAGCAACAACCACTGTCGTCCTGTTCACCATCACTCGATCTAACGCTTCCTGTACTATCCGCTCTGATTCTGCATCGAGAGCACTCGTAGCCTCATCAAGCAGAAGGATTTTTGGATCCTTCATTATCGCCCTTGCAATGGCTATTCGTTGCTTCTGTCCACCAGATAACTGTACGCCTCGTTCGCCTACAGAGGTGTCATAGCCCTGAGGGAGTGCTGATATGAAGTTGTGTGCATTTGAAGCCTTCGCAGCTGCAATGATCTCTTCCTCGGTTGCTTCTCCTTGCTTGCTATAAGCAATGTTGGTTCGGATTGTTTCGTTGAAGAGTACTGGCTCTTGACTTACAAGCCCCATTTGTTGCCTTAGCCAGCTTAGCTGGAACTTTTGGATTTCTACTCCATCTAAGTGTATACGGCCAGAGTCAGGATCGTAGAACCTCTCTATTAGACTAACTACTGTTGATTTTCCACTACCACTTTCTCCAACAAGAGCAACAGTCTGCAATAATCATTCAAGCCAACCAATTGTTAATGGTGAGAGGGATAAATCAAAATTTTCAAGTTTCAGGTGTTTGGGATGTTTCAGGTTGTTTTAGAGTTGAAATTCTAATGTTTCCATGGGTTTCAGAATCTAAATTTTAAATTGGTTTCTCTATATTTATTCTATTTCTGAAACGTTTATATTTCTCAACCGACCAGAATTAGGCTCCGAAATAAGATTATGATCCTTGATGAACATATGGTCAACACACACATAGTAAGCCAGAATATACATCAAAAAGAAGCAACAATAGTCGATAGAGTGATCGGTGTTACATATACCTTGCCAGAGGGGATGGTTAAGCACAAATCTTTGAAAATCGGAACATTGGGTCTTGTTGGATACTTGAAGCTAACATGGTGGAAGTCTATGTCACCCTTTACAGAAGTCAATGTTGTGCCCTCATTGCTGCTTGAATCAATCTTGGGCTTTCTGTCTAGAATCTCAAAAATAGAGGCAGCACAATCCTTTGCTTTATGCAAATCTGGAGCCATTGCTGTTGTTTGAGATACCCCAATTGCTGACATTGTCAGAGCAAAGAAAACCTGCAACCATATTGATACAGGAAAATAAGCCTGAGAATAAGAGAAAAGAATGTTTTGAGCCCTTCAAATATGCCTTTAGTCGCACATTGTCCCTCAACTATCATGTTTCTGATATTATACCTTTTACGAGGATTATTGGCCGCACATTACCCCCTCAACTATCATGTTTTCCACATGGCATCTCCGACTGTGGTTATTGATTTCTCATTTTGTCAATTGCAGACAGTAGAAACATGGACTTTTGTCCAAAACATAACCAAAGTTTGGATTTGGAAATGTGAAACCAATTCAAATCTTCCTCTAATACATTTCCTTTCCAATTTTTTCTTGACAGATCCTACTTGAATGAATGAAATGTGATCCGCTTGAATGAATGAAATGGGGAGAAAAAGAACCATTATTTTACCTTAAAAACTTCTCCAAATGTTGCTTTCCCATGTTGCTCAAGAACAGATCCAATGAAGAAACAGAAAGAATTAGTGCAAAAGAGGGCAAAAGAACCGAATCCGAAGCCAGCACCGCTGACAATTCCAAGCCTCATTCCCTGTTTCATGGGTGCCTCACACTTCTTTTGGTACATATCCATCACTTTTTCTTCAGCACAGAATGATGCCACTGTTCTGATGCTTCCAACAGCATCATTTGCAATTTGGCTTGCCTCTTCATACATCACCTGCAAAGAATTTTCATCATCTTAGTTCATTGTACTTGTCTTAATTTTGGTGTGAGTCAGGTTATCAATTGTTGTGTCAGTTTCTCATTTCTGATCAGCGTAAGTTGTGTCATGTTAAAATTTACTCAAACACACTATAGTCGCTATAGTTGAATGTCGTTTTCGGTTCGTGTCGTATATAAGTTTTGTGTAGTTGGATTTGTGTCATGTGTAGCTGGGTTTGTGTTAACCCCTTTATTAAGTGGGTCCGCTGGATCCACCCACTTCCGAACCCATTATGCCTAAAAACACACTACTCTGAATTCCACTTTGTGTCATGATTATAAATCAGCATGTCAAAATTTGTTTAATCCACACTCAATTAAGTTATAGTCGCGTATAATCGGATTTTATTGTGTCGAGTTTGTGTTGTGTAGAAGTCGTGTTTCGTTGGGTTTAAGTCGGGTTTAGCTAGTTTGAATTGACCCATTTAGGTAAAAGGTCCAGCAAATTAATCCATTTATGACTCAAACTCATCAAGACTAAACTCACACTCGCTAATTTTGTGTCAGTTTCTTGCCGACTTGGCG